GGGGGGTGCAGAGTAAGGTGGGAAACTAAGGCAAACCAGTGGGAGGGGCAAACAGAAACAGTAACCCAAAGGAGAGAAGCTGAGGTGAAGGTTATGTCAAAGCCTCAGAAAGAAGACTGGGAATCAGTTCTCTCCTATCACATATACTTCTGTAGAGACCTCAGTCTGCAAATGCAGGATCCAGAGGAATAGAGGCGGTGAGGTGACAGCAGGTCCTCAAGGGATAGAGAGGGGTCTGCACAGAGGACCAAGGAACTCCAAATGAAACAAGTGTGGGCATGAGGAATGGAACTAACCAGATGCCGTGGTACATGCTCCATCTGCACAGAGCTCCAGAATTGAAGAATGAGGGTGAAGGGTGCAGGAGACAGTGTACAAGCAGAGGGTGGGGGTGGGGAGTGGAGGAAAGGAGCTCTATCCACAGAGACCGTTGCCCAGAGCTGGGGTGAGCTTGCTCAGGTCATGCCCGAAGTCATGGTAAACACTAGACATTCCAACAAAGCCTTTTAATGACAAAATCCTGCAAATAGAGAAGTGAAGAGGATGCCATTCCTTGGTGCTTTCAAGCCTTCACCAAGAAGCCAGACCAGGCAAATCTGACCTTGAGGCTATGAAATGGACAAAAAGAAAGCAAGCTCCATGCCTTGAAGGTGGGTGCCAGTGGTCCTCAGGCAGGAAGTGGCTTTTGTCAGGTATTGTTCTAAAGATGCAGTTAAAAATAACTTTTTTTTTTTTTAAGTAGGCTTTACATTCAGCATGGAGCCCAATGCGGGCCTTGAACTCAGAACCCTGAGATCAAAACCTGAGCTGAGATCAAGTCAGATGCTTAACCAACTGAACCACCCAGGTGCCTCAACAACTTTTTTTGAAGACACGAGCAAATCAGTTCCTCCCACAAAGGCTCCACACCACCATTAAGGAAAAGCATGTCCATGTGCACACGTCCTCCCCAAATCCCCTTGTAGGAATGAGTATACTGCACAATGTCAGGATTACGCGGCTCCTGTATGCCTGTGTACAGAACCCAGCAGGAGCTCAGTACATGTGTTTAAATGCATGCTTCTTTCTTTCATGCCCATTCACCTGGGGCAAGACCAGAGGCCACTGCTGAGAAAGTGCCTGCTTGGGATTAAAAAAGGAAGGCTGAAGCAGCAGGAGGTGGATTGGGAAGCTGGGAACCCCCAATTTCCCCCTGCAGAGCAGTGGCACCCGTCAGCACAGCCATGAGGAGCTCTGTGGCTCTGTGCTGCTCTGGTCCTCCTCTCAGCAGACTCGTCAGCAAGAAGGACAGAGGCCACAGGGAGGGGGGCTGGTCTAGGAGACAAGAGTGTTCCTGAAGGCCAAGCCACCAACAAAACCACCCTACTAAGTAGCTAAGTGCTTAGGCAACCCCGCTTCTGAACTGCCCAAATCCAAGGCTAGGATGGCTGCAAGGCAGAGGGAGCAGGGCTGTTCTCCCCGTAAAAATGTACCACTGGATGGACAAGACACGTCACAGGGTGCTTTGGCTCTGACAGCACCACTGGGCAAACAGCTGGTGTTAGTCACCCAGCGATGCAGAAAGCACGACCAGCATGGGAAAGGCAGTCAGGAGAGAGACGTATGGAGGCAGGAGGCAGACTGAGATGTAGGGTAGAGCAGGGGCCTGGGTGGCGCCCATCCATGGAGAACACGGTCGGGGGAAGGTTTGGAGGTTACTGTGGCGGGTGAGGGGATGCTGACCCAGCATCTGCATGCCTGCAGAGAATATGCCACCCACGTCCCCTACCCTGCCCCTTCCCAGCCAGTGTGCAGACCAAGCAGCAGCACAAAAGCCCCTTCCCCACTCCATTCTAGATGGCCCTTTGAGCCCGGGCTTCACCACTATACTCGTCCCCAGAGACTTAGCTTTTCTGTAAAGGGGGGGCAGGGAGGGACTGCAGAGAGGAACAGAGAAGACAGAAATAGCTGAAGAAAGGGAAACATGTCAATGAGTTCCAGGAAAACGCACACACACTGAAACCGCAATGATCCAGAAGAGGCTAGTACTTGGTTACCGTCAGCTTCAGCATCCCGTTTTCCCTGATTATCTTAATGCGTTTCCTGTCCGAAGCAGTCATTTCCAACAGGATATTCTGTGGTCTGATCTCCCTGTTCTGTTCTCCAATGGTTGATAGAGGCAGTGCCCTGCGCAACCCTCCTCATGCCCTGTCCCCGCCCTCAAGAGTCTCTGCCCCGCCTCCCAGAAGAGGACTTCATGAGTACCCACCTGTTACTACAGGCTCCGTGGAAACAACCCACACCACCAAACAATTGGTTTAATTTTATTTCAAAATTGTACAAAATGGCCATAAGCGGCTATAAAAAATTTTGTCTTCAGAACACGTGGAAATTCAGAAAGAACAACAAAACAGGTATTATTCACAGTGTAATGGAAAAGCTTTCTCTGAGGCAGAAATTACAACTCTTCCTTCTTCTTCCCTAGTCTCTCGTGGTCTCCTTCCCGGAGCGTTCGAATAAAATTGGTAAACCCCAATTCCTATAGGGAATGGGAAGAGAAAGAGAAAAAGGAAACTTTAATCCCTGATGTGGATGTGCACCCTCTCCCCCACTTCCCTGATGCCCCACGTGCTCACTTCTCTGGACAGAGGAGCAGCCAGTGGAAGCAGCTGGCAATGCGGGGACAGTCTGCTTGGCTACTGGGGAGCCCTTTCCGACACCCCGGAACCTGTCCCTGCTCCGGGAGCTGGACTCTGGGACAACCTCTTGGGGAACTCTTCCAGCCAGGCTCACGGCCCTTGCTTCCCAGCAGAGTGCTAGCGCTGACCTCTGCCCTGCTCTGGAAGCCTCCCTTTGCTGCCCCCTCGGTGGCTGTTTCCCTGCCCAGGGCAGATGCCTCTCCCCAGCTCACCGTGCGATCGCTGTCATACTTTTCTGCAAATTTCCCGTAGTGGTAGTAGTGGAATGTGGGGTAGGCCTTGATGGCCTCTTGCTGACACAGGTCCTGGTTTTTGTCTCTGACGCAGTCAACAGCAGCACAGGCAATCTACAGGCCCAAAGAAAGGGTGGGTCAGCACAGGAGGCCTCCCACGTGAGACCTGGGGCCTGGACCCTCTGCACACAGACGGCACTTCAGGCCTACGTCATGTGCTTTCTTTTTTTCTCCTCAATAGCAGGGATGAGCTGAACCAAACAGCCTCAGCCCAGAGCTCCACTGAGACTGGTGATGCCTGTTTCCAATTCTCAAGGCAGCTGGGTAAGGTTAGGGGACTCAGCTTGCAGCACCCTCAGACTACCCTTTAAAATCAAGAGTATAATGGCCATAAAGGAAATTATGACTTGAAAGCATCTGTAAACACCACAGGTTTTGTGAGGCTCATTTCTATGAGGCATGGTAGGACTCATTCATTTATCAACTAACACTTCCTGAACATCTGTTTGCGGAGGGAGGATAGTACCAAGGTTAAGAACAAAAGCTTTGAAGTGAAGTTTCCCAAGTGCAAATCTTGGCTTGGTTGCATATTCAGACTTAAGGAAAATTACCTAGCCTCTAGCCTCAATTTCCTCATCTGTAAAATGGGGGTAATAACAACACATAGGTTATCAGGAAATTATGAAGACTGAGTAAGAGAATTCAGGGGAGGCGAATCGGCCACAGGACCTGGCACATGGTTAGTGGTCAGTAATGTCAGCTGCTGTTATAGTCGCGCCTACCAGCTCCAGACACAAGCCCTGTCTCCAGTAGGAGCTCAGCGTCCGGTCAGGGGAGTCAGATAAAGAGACAACTCCGAGGCACGATAGGGGGTGTGACGTGACGGAGGTGGTCCAGGGTGCCAAGGGAACTGGCACAAAGGTGCTCTGCCCTAGTTTGCCGTCTGAGCGGCGTCCTGAAGGAGGAGGAGAAAGAAGTTTCGGCCAGGGGAGCACATTCCAGGAACTGGAAGAGTTAGTTCAGCAGGACTACAGCAAACAGGGTTTTTGGTCAGAAGGAGGTTCCCAAATTGGCCACTGGCCTCTTCCTGCCCTTCTAACAAATTCCACATGCTGGGTAGTTTTTCCTAATTATTGTTCTTTCAAAATAAGAGGGTATCAAGCAGGCACGGGAGAACCTTTTTTCTGTTGAGGGTCACAACGCAGAGAAGGGGGGAGAGGGTCGCTTAATGGGAATACACCATACACAAGCATTACAGAAGAAGGGAGGGGAGATTCTAAGGAAAGGCAGCATTTCACCCAAGTGCTGCTATGTGCCAAGCCTGTCCTAGATGTCAGGGGTACAGTGATGACCTTGAAAAAATCTAGTCATCAAGTGACTGCCATCCTTACTGCAGGAAAGCAGTTAACAGACACATAACAAGGGAGATCATTTTAGAGCCCAGGGAACGCTCTCAAGAAATTAAAAGAGGGTGATTCAAGAAAACGATAGTCGGAGGGGCTCCTTTCTGGCCAAGAAGGCCTTTCCGAGGAGATAGCATTTGATCGGAGACCTGAGTCAGGAGGAGGCAGCAGGTGCACGAAGGCCTGAGCAGAGAGCACCCACCTAGAAACCAGCCCATGCCGGGACCAGGGAGAAAAATAAGCACGCTGCCTCAGAGAACCAGAGCCCATTAAGGCATTCAGACTGAACTCTTACCGTACTTGAAAGAAAGTTAAAATCGTTCAATAGCCACAATTCACATGGTTCTATGGCTACGGGTTATTCACATTGGGATGGGGGCCCCCTTTCCAGGCAGAAGAGCCCTGCGGGCCACCAACAGTCACATTTACTGGTCACTGACCTCGTGCCGGAGTGAGCAGGGCCACTGCTCTGCAGGCAGCGGGACTGACAGAGTGAAGTGTGGCCTGCTCTCTCTCTGGTGACCAGCGTGCCACACTTGCCCCTCCCCCGCCTTCACGCTTCCCTCCCACTTCAGCTACATAACGTCTGTATAATAAGACTTCTCAGAGCAGAGTTTGCAAACTTGCTGCACACAATCCATATCTGGCTTTCAGTCCTGTTCTATTTGGCCCACACAGAATTAAAAAAAAATAAACCTGAATTAGCTGCCAACCTAGAAAAAGAGCCAGAAGATTTTATATAAAAGTTTGGCTCTCCAGCTTCTCTTTAAAAGCCAGATTTGATGGCATTTGCCCTGCATTCCCACAAGCAACACGTGGCTGGAGCAGAGGGCAGCGGTCTCCTTCAGGTGGGTTTCCCCCAGCCGTTTGCTGAAGTCTACACAGAGCCTGACTCGCCGGGCTAGCAGGTGGGCCCCTTCAGTCTCCAGAGAACCTCAGCTCACCCTGTAAAACACTTCCTGAATTATTTAGAAACACGAGGCAGGTGCTCCTCTGACTGTCCTCGGCGTTCCACTTCTTGGGGCCCGGCCCAAGGGAGCCCTCACACACCGGGCAGCCCTCTGCGTCCGGCCCTCAGTGAGCGGCCGATGCCCCTCTGCTACGCTGACAGAGTGTTTGATGAGTGTTGCTCCAGGCTGCTGCTCTCCCCGCATCTGCTTTAAATTATGAATTTAATTTGTATACATGCCCTGGAGCTGTGGGAAATATAGTGTATGGTTTTATAAATTGACTAAATTAAAAATGTGTACTTATTTTGAATCCCCTCAACTAGCTGCCAGCCACGTACATAGAGTGCTACTTCTGGCTGCAAAGGCTCCTCTACCCTCCATTTCTACAGGAAGAGAGGAGTGAAGTGTGGCTCCTTCTAAAGGAAGTGGCTTAGGGGGCGCCTGGGTGGCTCAGTCTGTTAAGGGTCGACTTTGGCTCAGGTCATGATCTCACAGCTGTGAGTTCGAGCCCCATGTCAGGCTCTGTGCTGACAGCTCAGAGCCTGGAGCCTGCTTCAGATTCTGTGTCTCCCTCTCTCTCTCTGCCCCTCCCCCTCTCATGCTCTGTCCCTCCTCTCTCTCTCTCAAAAATAAACAGACATTAAAAAAACATTTAAAGGAAGGGGCTTAGACTCTGGAAAAAAGACAGCAAATATTCCGCTTCTCATCTATCCCCATTTCTCCTGTCTAAATGCCTGCACCCCTTACACCCACTCCAGATTTGCACTGACTGAACTACAGCACTGAATGTACACTATCACTTTGAGATCTGCTCCCCGGTACTTGGTATCCTGCTGTGGCCCCTTGGCCAAATACTTGCTAACTGGCACCCATAACTCTTGGCTGCAGGGAACCACTGCGTAAGGCCAGTGATGGACGGGGCTTGAGAATGTGGTCCCCCATGAGGTCTCCAGGGACTGAACCTAATCACCCATGCACTAATCTGCTCATCAACCCCCCTGCTCTGGCTCCTTCCCCGCCTGCTCCCCGTTCCTCCATCCTTGAGGCTGTAGCCTAAGACCATCTCCCAAATAAACCCCCTACACACAAGGGCCAGAACCTGAGTTTGCTTTGGGGAAACATCTGACAATGCCTGTTTATCTGGTTCTCAGATGCCCCTTTCCAGCTGGACAAGTCTGACAGAGTTTTTTTAACCTCTGTAAGATCCAATCTCCTCCTCTGTAAAATGGGAGATTAATAATATCTCCTTGGTTATGCTATGATGAGGACAACATGACATAATGCTCTCAAGTATCAGTGGAAGAGTTTTCAGAAAATATCAAATATATTATTGCTTCTTCATTCAGTCAACATTTACAGAGGCTTCAGGCATCAAGACTGGAGGGAATTCAAGGGCAAATGAAGTCCCTGCCCTCAGGGAGCCTTCCTTTCTGAAGGACAGAGAGCCCTGTAAACACAAGGGACTAAACACACCAGGGCCAGGGTTCCATCAGCTCCTGCTGCCTAAGGGCACCTGTCCTGGGATGACCTTCACACCTCCCCAACAGCTGCCTTCAAGGCCAGCCCCACTCCCAGCCCCACACCTTGCCAGCCCAGTGGTCGCCTGACCCCTGCCTGCAATCCACCAGCCTTCCACCTCAGGTCCTTGTCCTCCATGGCCCCTTCCCTACGGTCATCTGTTCCAACATTAACAGTATGTAGCCTTTTCTCCACCCAGTGTGTCAACTGCTAAAGCTCCCTAGTAAGCTCCTGGGAGGGGTGGAGGCTCCCCAGCTAAACTATGAGCTGCCTCATGCGGATTTATTGATTCAGTAAAATAAATCTCTGCAGGAGCTAATATTGACTTTGGCTATGAAAATGGAAGTGAACAACCAACTGCATATTGATTGGGGAAGGAACAGAGACTGGCTTCTGGGTAGAAAAAAATACAATTCCAGCTAAGAGGTGGCAGCATGCGTGGCCGGAAGAACTAGGAGTCAAGAGACTCTGTTCTGGCTGTCAGTGACCAGCCAGGTGTCCCTGGGCAAGAGACACGGTCCTCTCTGGGCCTTGATCCCTCATGAGTAGGAGAGGGCTGGATGGGCCACCACTCCCCAAATACCAGCCAGTAGCCAGTACAAGAGCTCTTAAAAATTATAAATTCCTGGAACTGTCTCTAGACCTCTGATGTGATAGTTCTAGGACACACCCAGCAATCGTGGCACCAGTAACTTTAGTCCCCCAGGCCAAGAGTGAACACTTCCCTGGGGTTACTGAGAGCCACCTCCAGGAACCCCAGGCCTGCCAACTGCCTGGCAGAGAGGGACAGAGAGAGTAAACATGTTCCTGGAAATGAGCGAGGGTAATCTCTGGCTTAGAATAAGGGAAGCTGGAAGGAGAGAACAGAGGGAATGACACAGAGGAAATGACCCCCGGAAAAGGCCAGTGACATTACTGGCTCAAGTTAAGACAATTAAGCAAGGGCATATCAGTGTCTCAGAGAAGGAGGGGGCTCTCCATGGAAATGGCGTCCCTGTGCATCAGCAGATGGGAATGAGGAAGAGGAGGGCTGGCCCTCGGCTGCTCACTATGGGCATAGCCAGCCTGGCCCTGCTTGGACTATTGTGATCCCTTCACAGATCCTGGAGCCATGGAGACCCGAGCAGCCGGAGGTCGGGGGGCAGGGGGTGCAGGGAGACCCCATACTTCAGCCACTCTCTTGTCTACCCAGAGTTCTCCGGGTGAGGGGTGAAGGGAGTCAGTGTGGAGTGACTGACAGTCCTGGGCTGGCTCCCCACACCAACCAACCAACACCCAGATTGTGAGGGAGTCCTGCCGGGATGGACCTCCCCAGGCCCCCAGGAGGAGCTCCTGTGTATGCACTGGCCCTGGGTGGCAGAAGGGGGCAGGTGGGGACAGAGATGAAGACGGGAAGCCCCTTCTTGCCACGCCCCTCTCAATGCAGGCCAAGTGGCAGGCAAAGGAGAAAAGGAGAAGTGAGCCACAGGGGCACAGCCAGACCTTGTGGGTGATGACAGGACATCGTGAGTCCAGGGAAGGGTCCTGGGGTCTGAGTCCTGAGTCTGCCCCCTCCCCACACACGTGCCCCAGCCTGGCTCTCTCTGACCTGCTGACCCTGTATAGTTCTCACATGTCATCACAAGGCCAACCCCAGGAAATCCAGCCTGCCCTGGCTTCACCTGAGGAACTCACTCAAAAAAATGTAAGGCACCACAGCAGAGATGCGTGTGACTTTGAGTCTGGGTATGTGTGAGCACGCTTCTGGGGCCTCTTGGGTGAAGAGAGTCCCAGGCTGGGAAGAGTCTTCGTGATCGTCTAGAGAAGCACCCTGATCTTAGAGAGAGGAGAATTCAAGGCCTGAAGAGCTGATGTGACTTCTCCGAGTCATACAGTTTAACAGCAGCCAAAAGCTGTACCAGCCTGAGTTCCAGAGTCTTCTCCTGCCACACACCCTTTGGCCCCAAAGTCACACTTTGCTCTCACCTGGGAGGGACCCACACTGCCCTCACTGCTGGAGCTGCCTGGGGGACGTGCCTGGGGGGTCCCCTCTCCTCCCCTCTAATCCAATCCCGCAGCTCTAGCTTGTTAATTTTATGCTTCATCGGTTGGCAGCTACAGGAGACTTTCCCTTAGGCAGGATGAGGCTCTGCACACAGCCTTGCTCTCCTCCACCTTGGCTGCCTCCAGTTGACTTTTGTTGAATTTTTTTATTTGTAGTTTCAATTATATAAGTGATGCATGACTACAAATCCTACTGTAAAAAGATTGAAGCACTAAGAAAATATAAACAGATGACCCCTTTACCGCCCCCCTCTTCCAATGAAGGGCTGTAACGGTTCAGTGTATCCCTTTTAGCTGACTTTACAGCAAACATTCAGCCTGCTCTATGCTGCCTTTATGAAAAGAATGTCCTGGTTCCCAGGAATTCTCTGATCTCAGCAGAGCCTATTCAGGAAGGGGACCTGAACGGGAAGGGAGGAAGGTGTAGGAAATGGCGGCAGAGCAAAGTCAGAGGCAGGGCAAGAGACAAAGAGGGGTCTCTTACCTTTCGGTCATCTTTAAAGACGTTGGCGGTGGCCGTAAAGTGCGGGATGACCTTCTTACAGTGTGGGCACCCTGTGGAAAAAGAGGACAGAATGTTGCACGTACGTGCAGGGGAGGCTGCAGAGCCAGGTGCCCCTCCTGGAACTGATAGAGAAACCTTTCCAGGAGCTTCCCTCCACCCAACAGACTGTGGTGGTGGGGGGGGGTTCGTCCGACTCCCACCCCTTGCACACCACACTGTCAGGGTCCTGTGTCAACTCTGCCCCTCAAACACTGCCCTGTGTTTCTGCTGTCAGCACGAGGGCTTTGTAGGAGTCTGTGTGCAAACGTCAGGTCCGCTCCTGCCCGGGACCTCCCACCCCACATCCTCCTGCCATACACCGGGTCTAAGAGGCTGAGGGTGGAGGAGATGGTCACTGCAGTCTTGCTCTGCAAGCTCCTTCCACGGAGGGCTGCCTGGGAGCTAGGCACAGAGGGAGCTTTGGGCCTGGAAAAGGAGAATGTGTGCTCAGGACTCTCTGAGTCTGTTACAAAGCCCTGCTCTTGCCTTATGGACAACAATAAATCTGTCCATGTCACGACTGAGAAAAGGGAACGGAGAAAGGTGGTGGCAGGAGCAACCGTCTGAGCCCCCACTGCTCATGTTTTGCTGCTAACGTCTACATTCCCAACAAATCCCCACCCCAGACCAAGCAGCCAGACCAGGCCCCAGGTCCTCACGCTACCCTTCTATCCTCTGCTCTACAATCAACCTGAGCCCTGGATCCAGGAACAGGAGACCCAAGGTCAGGTTAAGAGGAGAATAAGCCACTGGGTTATCAGGACCTGGGTTCCCGACTATGGAGAGAGGCCTATCACAATGGGTGAGGACCCATAACTCCAGAGGCCCAGGGTGTGACAACAATGCTTGTGTCAGCTGGGGTGACAGACCCCCTTTCTTGGCCCTTCCCTCAGCATGAGCAGATCCAAACCCAAGCCCACCTCTTTCTACCGTTCCCCAGACACTGAACACAACTGCCATGAGAACGGAACTGCTTTGAGGGAGGATTTCCTTGACTCTGGTAATTAATTCTGATCAAAGCACAGGTGGGAAAGGCCAAATGCCCTACGGGGAGAGTTGGTGAACAGTCGGGCCGGCCAAGGAGAGGAACAGAAATGGCTTTGCCCATCTGCTTTCTCTCTTTTTAAAATAAGATAATAACGACTGGCATTTCAAAGAGTTTTGTGAAACCAAATTAAAGCTGAGCTACAACTTTAATGTGAATTTAGCGTTGGAGCCAGTTCCTGAGATGGGCAGGATCACCCATATGGCCTGGCTGGTGGAGCTGCCAGCTGGCCCCAGAACAGTGTGGACAACGATGGGGAGGGGCAGGAAAAGGATTTTCCCAACATCCACTGCAGGTGTAGAGAAGAGAGCTGGGCTGGATGTGAGTTCTATCAGAACTGAATGCTGCAGAGTGCCTAACTTGTGGCAGATACTAACAGATGATTTTTTAACGGCCTCAATGGCAATTACAAGAACTCTTTACTAATCTGACCCAATGGAGGGAATAGCTCAAATTCATGAAAATTTCACACTACAGAGGAATGATGGTTATAGATTCCAAAACATCTAGAGGGCACAATGTGCTGGTCGACAAGGCTCACCAGAGCAGCATCTTCGCAGCACCTAGCGGTCCCCTGTGAGCGGCACACGGATGCCCACTAATAGCATTAGGCTGGCTGGAAAGAAGTTATCCTCTCCCCCAAACCTGGTATCACTATTAATTTTTCCTTTCTAAGCTCTTTGCTTACTGAATGTATAAAGGTAATTGTCAGCCTAGTGCAAATTCCTATTACCATCAATTTAAAGTATCTAGATCTCAGATTAATCACCTTCTGGTGCATCTAATTTTATCATTATCCAAAAGAAAGAGCATGGCAGATGAATAACTGGAGGGGAGGCTGTTTTAGGAAGGGCATGAAGATGTTCCCAAGAGGTGTCAGGTGGGCCAGAAGAGGCATGATCTTTTAATCTGGGCTCTTTAAAAAGGCACCACCTATGTGTAGCAAGGAAAGAAACTTCCCAGAGTGGGGAGACAGAAAGAAAGACCGAGGACAGGACAGAAAATTCCAATGCTAAAGACTCAGCACGCTGGCCTAAGAAGGGCAGTCACCATGACCAGACCACTGACAGCAAAGTGGGGGCTTGGAACAGGAGAAAACAATGAAATAGCCAGAGGAAGATCTCTGTATAAACCGGGAGGAGGTGGGAGGAGGAGGTGGGAGGTGGGGAACATAGGGAAGAAGTGGGAGGTGGGAGGGGGCAGGAGCTTGAGGACACGGGGGGAGCTGGGAAGTATGGGACATGTCGGGGAGGTGGGAAGTGGGTGGGAGACAGGAGGTGGGAGGCAGATGGGAGGTGGGGGGAGGTGAGAAGCAGTAGAGATTGGGGAAGGATATGGGGATTGGCTTTTGCTTCTACTTTATACTTACCTTTATCAGGTGTGTGATCTTTCTTAGTATTAGGTTCTTTATATGTAAATAACCATAAGGATGTGTCATATACTATATAAAAATAAGTATATATTATTTTCATAACTGAAAACTTTTTAAAGATTTGCCTTTGGATAGATCCACCTCCCCGATGAGCATCTCTGGAACAGGGTTCAGGCACAGGAACATGCAGTAGAGAAGGGAAACTCTAGGTGCCAGGCCCTTTGATGGAAGCTGAGTCACCCAGTGGAGCAGCCCTGAACGGGCTGTTTCGAGTTGTTTCTTGCCAGAGTACATAGACTATGAAGCCCTTGAGCTGTGGCAGGGACCATGCCTCCTTCTCTTGTATCCTGGGCCCCAGATACCACCCAGCACACAGTGGTTCTGTGAGGGAGGTCATTAGCACCCCAGTGGGGTAGGAGTCCTGACTCCAGAGGTCTGGGGGAAAGAGGGGAGCAATCCCAGGGGAAAGTTTGTAGTCTGGTCTTTCTAAAGTCCACCCAGGGGTTGGTCAAGGACCTCTGCTTCTGTGGCCAGGGTTTCACTGCTGCTGAGAAAGCTCATACTCTCTGAATTATGTCTATGGCAGAAAGAGCACCAGCCCAGGCTGCAGGGAGGGCTCTGTCGCTTCAGTGCTCCGAAGCCTTGGGTAGGTCACACATCTTCTGGGTCTTAGTCCTGTGCCTGGCATTCTGCCCAGAAGGAAGACAACTTCTTAAAACCCACTCAGCCTTCTAGGCATATGCTAAGGACAGATGAGGACAAAGACAGTGAGAGGCTCTGCAAGGAATGGAGAGAGCCCAAGTCCCGCTCTGACCTGGAGAAGAAAAGGCAAAAACAGAGGGACACTTTGCTGCCTGAGGGCAGGGGTCTGAGGCTGGGAAAGGTGGGCAGGAGGCAAGCCCTCTCAGAAAGTGAGAGGGAGGAGTGACTTTACGGATTACTGACACTTGAAAAGTGGGGCAGGAGGGGAGGCAACAGGAGGGCTGGTTACAAGCAAGCAGGTTTATGACTAGATTGAGTTGCCTGGCTTCTCTGTAGAGCGAAGCTTTATTATCCCCACTCCATTAAGCTGAGCTGTAACCGGGGGGAGAGAGACAAGGGCAACAGAACAGTGGGAAATTCAAGAGCCTTCCCTTTTAAATATCAATTAACTTCAAGATGGAACAACACAAAATCCAAAGGTCACAATCACACGTGTCACTTCCTCAACTTAAACTTTGATTAAAAGGGGGATAGAGGGGGAAGTTAGCTCAGAAAAATGTGGTGTGCTTTTCCCACAGATTCAAACTCGATGGCATCAAAGCCACGTGGAGGAGGTCAGGGAGGAGGACTGGGCTGGGGTACTCAGGAAGACCAGGAAAGCAGAGGCCAAAATAGGTCGGCTAAATTCCAGGGTTTTAAGGTGAAGTCAGTGCTCTGTGGGACAGAAGGAGCCAAGGGGTAGGTGGAATTGGCAGGTGGGAGGCAAGCAGCCTAGAAGATTCCAGGGACATGAGGAGACTGAATAATTTTATGGCAGGCCCCTGCCACAAACAGAAGCAGAGGGCTTTACGACCGATGTGAGCAAGGCTCCCCAGAAACAGGGAGAGAGACCCTGACAGAGCCAACAGGAAGAGGCCTTGGATTTGGAAGGACCTCAGCCTGGGATGAAACTGAGGAGCCCTGACACAGCAGGGATGAGCCCAGGGTCCGCCTGTGGCTGCACTGTTCCCTGGTGGAGGGATCTTCTTGGTTCAGTCTGGCCCACCCCTCCACCTTGCACCTTGGCGAGCACCCCCCAGCTACTTACAAGGGGCATAGAACATGACCAGGGTGTGCTTCTTCTTCTTCAGGGTCTCCCGGAAGTTGTCCCCTACCAGGTGCAACACGCTGGTCTGCTGCTCTTCCCACGTGGGCTCTGGGGGTGGAGGGGCCTCAGGGCTACAGGAATGGCAGGGAGGGGAGACGGTCATAAAGGGAGGCCTGTGCAAGGGCATACACTTCCACACCCACCTGCTCAGAGGAGCACCCAAGAAGAAATCACTTTGCATCCTTTCTAAAATTTAATTTAAAACCTGTGTTCCAACGTGAATAAATCTGTACCATCAACAAAGATATTCTGATTTCCTCTGAGGAGCTTATTAAAAAGCCATTTTGTGATGGTGTGGAAGACCTGAGCTCCTTTTAGGGCAGAGCAGTCTCTCCAGGTGTCAGCCATCATCTTGCCACGGGTACAGAAACTCCTTCGCCTGGGTTCCCCTCCCTCTCTCTCCCTCCCTCTTCCTACTGCCTCTTCTGGGATCCTGAAGGACCCTCCATTATGCTTTGCGCTGGTGGAGAGAGCATGGACCAAGGAGTGAGATGGGTCTGGATCCAGATTGCTTATCACCTGTGTGAACTTAGGTAAATTACCAAACCCCTCTGAGCTTCATTTTCTTTTCTGTTAAGTGAGTACAATGATACCTATTTCCTGGGATCCCTATGAAGAGCAGAGACAGTGTACCTAGGGCACCTAGTCAGGCCAGCAACTAACAGTTGCTAAGAGCCCATGTGCTCTAAGAAATACTAGGCATTCATTGTGTGTTTCTAATTTTTCAGTCTTTTTCTGTCCACTAGTTCCCTCCATTGTGCCTCACAAAAGGACAGATCTCAGCATGGCCCCTGTGCAAGGATGACACACAAATTCATGAAACGTTCCGTATTTTTTCGTGATGAGCACTGGGTGTTATATATAAGTGATGAATCACTAAGTTCTACTCCTAAAGCCAATATTATACTGTATGTTAATCAACTAGAATTTAAATAAAAACTTGAAAAAAAAAAACCCAGAAACAAAAAAGATCTCAGGGTCTTTTAAAAGCCTTTGTTGCCTTGTCCCCCTCTCTACAACCACACTGCTCTGCTCCTTCTCTGAGAAGGGTCTCTGGGGAGTGGTCTGCACCCAGTGCTGCCACATCATCCCCTGCACTCTCTCCTTCACCCATGCACCACTGGTTTCCACCCCTGGCCTCAGCCCTGGCCCCAGCCCCGAACCCAGCTGAGTGCAGCCCTGAGCCAGCCCAGGACCATTCCTCTTTCAAAAGTCCCCTCTATCGAGTGTTCACAGGGTCTCCCTCCTCTTCAGGTTCTATCTGAGCCCCTGCAATTCTCAAAAGATCCCATTCATCCACATGGCTTTCATAATTCCTGTGCCTGAGGATCTGAGTCCAGACCTCTCAACAAGGCTCCCTAATTCCAGGTGTTTTTCAGATACTTCTGCTGGAAGGCCCCACTTGGAGGTCACCCCAATCCTAACAAAACAGAACAGATCACTCTTCCCCCTCCTCCACACCTCCCAAACCAGCTTTCCTCAGGTACCTCTCCATTTTGGTCAATGGCACTGCTGTTCCTGTGACCAAGACCGGCCCCTCCCAGCCACCCTGTCTTCCTCCCTTTTCTTCCTCTAGGTCCCCTGGCTCATGGACGACACCTGGACCCCAGGCTCCTAACCCTGGCTCATGGATGACACCTGACCTCCCTGCTCTACCTTATCCCTGAATCCTGCCTCCCCGGGCTGGCCTGCTGGTGGGCCTGTCTCAGTCACTCACAGCACACTTGTGTACAAGCCTGGAAACACCATCGGCCTCACCCAAATTCCTCACCCTGCTCCTGCGTGACAGGCCTCGGTCTTCCATCTCAGAGCTATCTGCTGTTCATGCTCTGCCTGAGAATTCTTTCTGAGCTCCCAAAAGAACTACTATTTGTCTCTGGGCAAGGCCGCCAACCTCTCTGAACCTAAGTTCCTTCATCAAAGAAATAGGAATAAAAACTCTTGACCTCATAGGATCTGAGGATGAAATGGGCAACAGATACAAAAGCAATTGGCAAAGCCTGGGAAGGTATTGCCACTTATGTGGCAATACTGTCAGTTATAGATCCAAATAACAGCTGGCATCAATAATAAAAACAGCTTCCTTTCTCTGAGTATTGCCACACCACACACCGTGCTAAGCACAATAGTCTAATTTAATTCTCTAGATGAGTCTTTGGGAAAGTGTTGTCTCCGTTCTACAGATGGGAACAGGCTTAGTGAGGTCAAGTAAATGGCCCAGGGTCACAATCTAAGCACAGGTCTCTTAGACTCCAAAGTCCATGTTTTACCCTCAGTGCTTTTCAGGTGCTCAGCAGCAGAGAGACTCTGCAAAGAACAGACACAGCTCCTCTGTGCTCACTACCTGCAGCCAGGCCTCTCCTGATTCCCTCAGCTCTCCCACCACAAGTGCAAGCACCAAGAAACTGCCTGAACCCCACCCTGTTCAATCCTCCCAGGGTACCAGCTCTGGCACCGGAGGGAGGCTGGAGAGGCAGGTGTGAATGGTAACCTGCTTCTGACGCCAGAAAACCCAGAAGAGGGAGTACCTTGTCCCTTCTGGAAGTGAGCCATCACTCGCCTCTGATCCCTAAGAGGGAGGCCAGGCTATTCTGAGAACCTGCCCCCAGTGATGAGCAGGACAAAGTGGGAGAAGCTGAGACTAGGACCTCACTAGTGCACCCACCTCTTCCCAGGGGTCTCTCCTGAACCTAGTGGAACCTTCGTTCCCATTCTATAAGTGGGTATTTCTCAAAACACTATGGCTGCGGGTTCCATTCCCACTTCCTGAATCAAAGCTTCAGGGACAGCAGCCCCAGGATCTGTACTTTAAACAAGCACCTCAATACAATGTGACACATATATACTCCTAAGTTTGAGCACAAATGTCCTAACAAAGTAACTCAATCTAGATGCTGCTATTTTGCTTGGTTCTTATGTTACATTTGATTCTAAAGTCTTGGTTTTCATATGGGAATATACTATGCTTTGTACCAGGGACCTCAGCAAAGGATGGAATATGTCTTCTTTTACTTTATCTCCCCTGCCTACCCAGTGCTGAAATGAGGAAATATTCCCAAATATTCAAGGGTGTGTGTGTGTGTGTGTGTGTGTGTATGCGCGCGCATCTTGGGGGAAGGGTGTAGATAGGAGAAAGTCTCCTTAACTACGTCCTAACAATTTCTGCCTCTCAAGCAAGGCCTGGGACTTCCTCCATTTCCCAGGGTACCTGTGTAATGGTTCTTCTTCCTCATAGGACAGGGAAATGCTAAGAACTGCAGGTTCCAAAGACCTTGGGTGAGGAGGAGGTCCTTGGGCCAGTAATTATGAGGCTACTCAGGTTCTCTGGACTTGCAGGCTGTTATGGGCTGAGTTGTGACCATACCCACCCCCCAGCCCCCATTTACATGTTGAAGTCCCAGCCTCCAAGTACCCCAGAATGTGACTGTACTTGGAGACAGGGTCTTTAGAGAGACAATTAAGTTAAAATGAATTCACTGAGATAAGCCATACCCTAATCTTACTGGTGCCCTTCCAAGAAGAGGAGATTAGGACACAGACACAGAGGGAAGACTGTGTGAAGATGTGGAGAGGAAGAAGACAGTCAAGGAGAGAGGCCTCAGAAGAAACCAGCTCTGCTGACGTCTCATCTTGGACTTCTGGTCTGTGGAACTGCGAGAAAATAAACTTCTGCTGTTAAGCTCCCAAGTCTGTGTTACCTGTTGTGATAAATCAGCAAACTAATACATATACTGAGGGAGCTCTTCACAATCTGTATTGTCAGCCCCAGACCACCACAGGCTGCCTCGTGGACACATTACCAGAGGCCTGGTCAACCACCAGCAGACCTGGTCCTGAATGAGTTCAGCTCTGAGAGTGAAGAGCTGTGTGTGTCCTCCAGCCATCAAAGCAGATGGAATAAAACGCCATGAGGAAGCCTGGGGCTAGGTCACGGGGAGAGGGGGTGGTCTAAGAAGACAGACATGCCACCCGCTGCACTGGTGCTGGTGAAACTGCATCCGGGAAGGCTACCAGTGATGTGCTGCGTGAGAACATTGGCCAGCACCCCAGAGGTGGCTTTAGAATTGGAGAAATCCAGTCCGCCTTGGCTCTTGTGGCCCTCAGCCAGGGTTAGCAGCCTCTAAGGTTTACTCTGTCTCCTCCAGGCCTGTTCCAGTGGCCGCCAGCCAGGAGTCAGGATGTGCTACTGAGACCACAACACTTACTTTCGCATCCACTCAATAAAGTTCTTCTTTGTTCTGAGCGCAGGCACTGCATATTTCTCTCCGTTCTTAAAATACTTCAATGTAGGAAACTCGGAGATGTGGAATCTTTCTGCCAGGGCCTTGTTGACAGTGGCATCGACAGCTGCAAGGACACCAGAGCTCTGGGATGGGGGAGAGGCCAACCATGCATGACAGCCTCAGACACCGTGCTGGCAGAAGAGGAGCCCAGATGCCAGCCCCCAACCCGCCCGGGACCTGCCAGTGTTTCACTGGGAGTGGCTGGCTCCCTGGGCTCATATATTCCAGGGAATGACTGCACACTAGAAAGTGCATTATTTCTCATTTGTGGGCTGAAATGAGACTTTTAAATCTGCCCTGCCAATTAGGCTGTGTAGACTGTGGCTGTTCCCAATAGCCAGGGTCCCAGAGCAAAGAGAGAGAACTTTGAGGCTTCACCCCAGAGCCATGACCTGCCAGAGGCCGCATGGACAGCGTGGGAACACGACCCCATCGTCTCTCTGCACGGCTCCATCCCTGCTACGGGCCCCACTGTCTACAACATGTGTACTCAGGGACAGTGAAGTCCTGCAGACCTCAGGGATCAGGGAAGTGGCTGCGGAGCCTGCGCGGGAAAGTCACTGTGATGATTCAGGTCACTGATTCTTCAGAAGAAAACGGTGGTGGGGAGGTTAAGAAAAGGAAGCTTACGTCTGCTTCTCCATGGAGGACTTCTGCTGCATTCTCAAATTCTGGCTTCATTTTCTTACAGTGACCACACCCTGTGGGAAGAAATCAAGAGAAAACATCCCCATGGCATGGAGGCTCCAGTGATGCCCCTGCCTCTGTGCAACAGATGGGCCCTATTCACAGACACCAGGGGGACCTGAGAGAAAAGAAGCAGCACCAGCTCAGAGGCAAGAAATCTTTTCCCTAATCCACTTGGTAGAGAGGGGAAGGTGTGCAAGAGGCAAAAAATGAAGTCACTACATGAAAAAGACTGGCTATATGTATCTATAGGTCCTATACTGGATATATACATATATAGGTCCTGTGTGCCAGGCACTGCTATAAGAGCTTTATATCCTCACAACAGCCCTGCAAGGTATAACCTGATTATCTCCATTTTATAGATGAGAAAACTAAGGCACCAAGAAGGTAGGGGACTCCCAAGGCTACTTACACTGCCACAGGTCACAGAGCCAGGGTGCGAACCCAAGCAGTGTGGCTGGAGGCCACAGTCACAGGCAGTGTGTGCTTCCCAGCACCACTACCACTGCCATCCCCTTCCCCAGGGGCAAAGGGAGCCCGAGGCTTGAACCGGGAATAAGCATTCACAGAAGCAAGAATACATTCCAATTGTCCCCACAGGGGAGGATGTATGATATGACAGGCACAGGGATCAGGCCTGTCATTTCCAAATGCCTATTTCTTCATATAAAGATTGCTCTGCCCTCTCCTCCAACCACACACATGCAGTAACATCATGAATAATAAAATTTGATACATTAAAAAGTAAACAAACACTTTGATAGGTGATGTCAGGACATTTGTACATGGCTTTCATTTTAGTAGAGAGTACTTTCTGGCTTCTAACACTGCAGGGGCTGTGAAGCAAGGAGGTCCAGACTGGCTCAGGCTTGGGACAGCTAAAAGGTGAACCTGGCTCCGTGGGGGCCACGCTTGAAGCAGGCCAAGCAGAAGGCAGGGACAGAGCTCGGCCTTCTCGTGGGGTACGGCTGTGTGGAAGCCAACAGCACTGCAATTCTGTAGCTAACTTGGGAGAAAGGGAGGCAGACAGACATACCAGTATTAGCAGAGGAGACCTCCCACAGCCTCCGGAAGCCGCCAAGCCATGGGAAGGGCTTTCCTGCTTCCATCTGAGCACTTGGCTGGGGCAAAAGTTCCTGTCTTCTCCAAGGTCACTCTTGCAGAGCTCAGCCCCAGGGGGTACCAGAACACAAACATGTCCCCTCCACCCCTGCCTGTTCTCAGCTTCCTCAGTCCACGCTTACCCGTTCCTCCCAGGGACAAGGGGTTCCACAGTGGCTATGCTGCATCCCCCTCTCCCCCACCCACACACTGATAGTAGAAACTTTAAGCGATCATGCAGCATCCAGGCCAGAGCCGTCAAGCCCCTCTTTGGACAGAGCACTCTGGGGAGCCATGAGATGACTCAGTGGATAGAACTGTCCCTGATGGAATTCAGCCCAGGGAGCAGCTACAATTCTCAGTGGCACCAGCATTTTGGTCCTTCTCAAATGGGCCCAAGGATAAGGGAAACCTGTGGGTTCATGGTCTGACTACAGCCCACTCAGGATGCCTCGAACCATAGATCACCATGACATTGAAACATAAGAACATCATTTGCCAGAAATGAACATTTAGTGCTATCACAAGCCATTAGTCACTTTCTAAGCAATCAGGTTACAAAGGATTGTTTTGTTTTGTTTCAGTTAAGTTTATCTAGAACTGAAAACACGTTTTCCCCAAAGAAACAATTTCATACACAGATTCTAGGCAGGTTCTCAGGAAAGACTATAAAAACCCATTTAACAGAATGTGCCTGAAGCATATAGAGTGTGCAGTGTTATTTCTACTTCACTGAACTGTCCCCCAGATGGAAAACACACGATCCAGCTCCGGACACCACACAGGCCTCTGACTGCGGCGAGCTGCTACCCACAACAGCAAGAGAGAGCATCTTCCTCAGCTCAGGGTGGGACTCTGGGGCTTCCTGGGTCACTGACACTCTTAAGAATTTAATAAAAGCTTCTCCTTCCCTTCTCCCAGACTGATGCGTATAAAGTCCAAATTTACGTATAACTTCATAGGGATCCGATCCCCTATCTGGCTCACAGTCCCCAGTTAAAAGCCAAGGCACACAAGGCCCAACTCCAAGGCATTCTTTCCCATGGGAGGTGGGGCAAAAGAGCACAGAGCTGTCCCTACAGGTGTCAAGGCTCAAGTGTCCATTCACACCAATCCATGTGTCAGGAGTAATGGAATATTCTGCAGAAGAGTCTACTGAGTTGACGTGGAATATACTAAAATGAACTTTTTTTTCCTGGTTCTCACTAAGAGCAAAGGAGTAAGTCATTCTCTGGAGCTTATGGTCAGGATGAAGGGGTTCTAGAATTCTTAAAGTGGACCCCCACTCCTTCGGCCTGCCTCCAGGCTGACAGCTCCTGGCAGCCTGCCCCAAGGGATCACCCATTCTCCCGTTCCCAGACTGGCCCTTCCTGACTGTGGTGGTGGAGGCTCACCTTGCATGAAGAGAAGTCAGGAAAAGGAAGCTCAGAGGAACTCCTAATGCTGATCTGTCACCCAAGAATTCAGCCTGCCCTGGAGAAGAGGAAGTGAGTGGCCGGGGTCACCCACTCAGTCCAGTGGAGACCTGGGCTCAAGGCTCCAACTGGCCTCTAAAAAAGGCAGGAGTGGCAGGGAGACTCACCCCTGACCACCCTCTCCCATAAACAAGATATGAATGGTATCGTCAGGCCAAGTGCCAGCAGGGCCCATGGTCAAGGTGGGCAGTACGATGGACTGGGGACTGGGGGAGGGAAGATAAAGAAAAGCCAGCCATTGCCACTGACAGAAAACCACTATTTCTTTCCAAAATGTTCCAATGTGACAGGACCCCTGAAGATAAGAGAATTCACCTTCATACCTTTATCAAGTTCTGGCCCTTTGATGCCACTGTCCTGCTGGGGTAGCAAATAGACTTCCATATCACCTGCTAGCTTCTATCCGTGGTGGGCCAGAGATGGACTCTGAGCCTGAGAATTGGCTCACTGGGAGGAAGGGTCTATCACAGACATGGGAGGGACAAGTGGAAGATATGCCGGGAAATGTCCAGCCTCTTTAGTTTGCACTCATGCCTCTCTCCTGGACTTCTGGCCCGGTCTCCCAGGACTCTCCTTAAGATAATAAAAGTACTTGCTCACTGTACTGGGCTTTGCCAGCCCAATGAGACAGATGGGACAAGCTCATTAGAGCCAGAGATGGGCCCTGACATGGGATTGAGGTGGATCTTCTGGCTGGAGTTCCCATCACTGTGTCCACATGACACAAAATTCCCCCCAAATTCTTCTGTCCGTCAGCACCCACTCCTCATCATCACAGCCCTTGCCCTGATGGACCAGGCATCTCCACACAGTGCCTGCCAGGCTCCGGCCCCTACCCTGAGTCTTTGGTTCATTCCATCCCCACCAAACCAACCATTTCTCTTCTACTCACAAAGTACTTATTCATATATTTCCATGGCATTTAATTTCGTACTGCCTTGTGACTGTTATATTGCTGTCTTCTGATATTTAGGAGCAGCCAGGACATCTTTTCAAGACATAAATCAGATCAAACTCTCTTGGTTATAACTTTGCAATGGCTGTCCATTACAGGTACATCAAAATCCAAACTCCACCATGGCCATAAACTGCACGCCATCTGACTCTCCCACCCACCGACCTCAGCTCCTGTCACCTCCCTCCTGTCCTCTGCTCTGCAACCTGTGGCCTTCTTTCTGTTCTATCAGACCAAGTTCACTTCTACTTCACGGGTCTTCATGTACTCTCACCTGGAACATGTCTTTTCCCCATGTCTGTGCACGGCTGACCACTTTCACATCATTCAGGTGTTAGCTCAGATGTCACTTCCACAGAGAAATTCCCTGATCATCTAATCCGGAGGAGCCTCACACCATCATGTTCTCTTCCAATATCCTATTTATTTTCTTAACTGTACTCAAAACAACTGGAGTAATCAGGAGGTGCCTATGGTGGCTCAGTCAGTTAAGCATCTGAATCTTGATTTCAGCTTGGGTCACGATCTTGTAGTTTGTGAGTTCAAGCCCCGCTTTGTGCTTTGTGCTGACAGAGTGAAGCCTGCTTGGGATTCTCTCTCTCCCTCTCTCTGCGTCTCCCCAGCTCGTGCTCTCTCTCAAAATAAATAAATAAACTTTAAAAAAACAACAACTGGAGTCATCTTCTTACTTGAACCTGTCCATTCCAACTGGAATGCAAGCTCTGTACAGACTTGGCTGTGTGTCTAGCTCACCACCGTATCCCTGATACTGAGGATGGCAGTCAACACACATTTTGGATGAGTTAACTTCATGCCTATACTGTTCAGGTTTACACCTGTGCGCACAAGGTTTAACTGGACTAAATTCTTTTGGGGCAAGAGTCATGCTTGTATCCGAATAGTTGCTAGTTTGACTATTTAGTATAACTGGCAGCCAAGCCAGTTACTGGGTACATACCCACCCCCTGCCCACCATTTATTCACTTCTGCTCCTTACAAGGTCTGTAAAACACCTCTGGAAATCTCCAACATCTATAGATTTTGTTCTACAGCTTCTCCTTCATACCCTAGAGTACTCTTCCCCTTGCTTACAGCACCAGTTCCCTCTGCTTCCTGAACAAGATATGAAGGCTAGGCAATAAACCTCTGTAAAGAGAGTTATGACAAGGAGAATGACCAGGCCCCAAAGAAGACAAAGGTCTGGCCAGACGAACATCTCCCTTGTTGGTACCCACCTGTTCTAGAGCTCTGTGGGTCCTGGGCAGTGCCTGCCTTGACCCCAGCCCCAGCCTTTTGGGCCTGGCCTTCAGGATGTCCTGGCCATGGGGGCTGCGTGAGAGCCAGAGGAGGAGGTTACAGAGCAGAAGCAGGACTCCAGCCCACTGAGTTTTAGTGTCCTGATTGTGATTTGATAGGCCATTAAGTTTTACTGCCAAACTTCCTTGTTGGGTTTTTATCATCTGTGTAAGTGCACTTACGC